TCTTGGTTTGGGGGCACCTGAATTTTTTTTTAACTTTCGCAGATTGCAATGTAATGAAGTTTTTAAAAAGTGTCCTTTACCTGGCACTGGAGGCAGGACTGCCGACCTGATTAATAGATATAGAAAAAGATCTTATTTCATCTTCTGATTCATTCTCCACCAAAGAGGTCACTTTTAATTGAGAAGAGTTAAGAAGGTGAACCTGGGTTGCTTTTAACATTGAAAATATTTCTCATTGTTAAAAACCAGGAATCCTTTTTGCTTACTTACTCATTCTTTAATATTTTAAGGTGTGACTTTTTTCTGTCAACTTGATATTTATATTAGAGTCTGCTTTTAGAGATATCTGTGTCTCCCAACCTAATTCAAAAGAGCATGTTGGTTTTGCTTTTACACAAAGAAGTATTTTAATTGGTCACAGTGTCCTATTACTAAATGCTGCCCAGCCTAATTCCTATTCTACAAGATGGAGCACTGTGGCTAGTATTCAGCCAAACGGTCTCTCTGGTTCCCCTCCTCTTGCCTCACTTTCCCTTGCTTTTCTGTGTGATTCCTTGAATATAAATAGAAAGAACTTCCATGGGGATGGATGAATATCTACTATTTTAAATGACTACGGACAGAGTCCTGGGATGTGTAAGTGAATATTTCAATACTCCTCACTGCTTCCATTCGTTGTTTTTGGTTGATTTTTGTGTATAAAATACCAGCGTATGGTCCTCTTAGACTCCACAGCACATGGTCCTCTAGACTCCAAAGTAGAATTGCTTTGCATATGTTTTCTTTTCTATTACGACTGTACCATTAGAAATTTGTTCCCACCAGCTTATTCCACCCCAGGCTTTCCATTCTGTTTGCAGATACTGGAATTCACACCTGGGTTTTGAGGCTCACAGATCCTTTTCCATGCAGGACTTACTGCCCACACCCTCAAAGAACTGTGTCTCTTTCCTGGGTTCTATGATGGCAATGTCTTGTGAGGACTCATCATCATGCATCACTACACCTGACTCCCTCCCCTCTTTCTCTCTTCCCTCCCCTTCCTTCTCCCTTTAAAAATGTAAGTTCTGGAAGGTAGAACTCAGGTCCTCATGCCTATAAAGCACACTTGGCTGGCTGAATCATCCGTCCAGCACAGCTGACTTTTTAGATTGGTAACTTCTCTACTTTTTGTCAGTGAAATCTGAGCCCATAAAGGGAAGAGTTTTGTCAACTTGCTTCACTTCTCTAATTCCACTGCTAAGAACTACGCCTCACACCCAGCACTCATAGGGTCAGTCTTTTCTCTTTTGTGGACAAAAGAAGACATGTCTAGGATAGCGGCTGAGCACATCCTTGAAGACCGGCAGTCTTAACAAGATGACGTCCCCTATAGTGCTTTGCATTGTACTTTTTCCAGATGAGTCTTAAAAGTTTGTGTTCCAACTGACTTCAGAATGTGCTCATCTTTTAGTTTTCTTCTTGTCCAGCTGATAGATGGCATTATGGCATCCTTTCACTTTTATTTTTTATTGTGATGACACGTTTTTATAACCAAGCTCCCTGAAAGAGGGGCTTTTATTGTTGTGTGTATACTTTGTAAGAGAGTAAAATCCTACCTTAAACTTTTCTGATAACCCTATTCTAAGACACAGGTGAGGGGTGCAAGGCCACTTCCTTGAGGCAGTCCTGACTCACCACTTTGTACCAAAGTGAGGTCTTGCTTAGAGATGCTTGTACAAGATACTTGGATAACATCCGGATTGGTGAAGTTGAGGCGAATGACTTGGACAGGGGTCACTTGCGGCATGTATCACAAATTGTGCAGGACCTTCGTTGACTGACACATGATCTGACTATGCATTATACTAGAACAAAGATACTAGGCTATCAAATTTTTTATTACTGAAGTCCTTTCACAGTCATGAGTAAAAACCCGAAAAGTACAAAGAGGTTGAACATATTTGCCCCAAGCTCAAAACAATTATTTTTCTTATATTTTTCTCTTCTTTGCATATTTTGCATAACTCTAGTAATTATATATGTTGGCAGTTAGTCTTTTTAGCTATGGCCATGACAGTTACATTTTCATGATTTATTTTTTCCCTAGCCATGCAGTTTCATGCCTGTATGATACTCGAGGGGCTTGGAAATGTCTTGGGTTAATCTCATGCCATTTTCTGTTAATGGAAAGTTATTTCTGCCTTCCCCAAATTTCATAAACTTGCCGTACATTTCCTAATATATAGTCCACTTTTCAGTTGGAGGGGTCATTTTTATGGGATTAGTTCCTAGGAATGAAACTGTCAACAGCGTAAGTCTTTATATTGTAAGTTTTTCAAAGGCACTGTCCATTTGTACAACCATATTTAATGACTGCAAGTAGAGCTGCTTGATGCCTGTTCATTTGTATCACAAGAAAATGGGTCAGCAGTCTCTTCCCCCTTGCACCCATACAATTTGGAATGTGGTCATTCAAAATCAATAGTAATAAAGGCTTAAATACCATTAATGGCTGTCATTCACACAGCCTCCCTAGGTGGCTTCTTACGAATTGTAATAGCTTAAGGCGTTTTATTTCCTTTTTATTTTTTTTCCTCCTCTTTACTGTTTTCTTCCCTCCCTCCTGGTTTAAAACATGTTTTCCTGGCTGTGCTTAAGCCTCAGTACTTCTTGTTCTGTCTTTGTTGATGAATGAGTGTAATTGACCCCTGTTGCCTCTATTATACAATCCATGGCAATTTGTTTTTTATGTAGTAGTTATTTTCTGAGCTGTCTCAAAACTGCCTTACAAAAAGAGCTCATTATCAGCGCAAAGGAAAAGAATTTTAAATGACGGAATGAATAACAGTCCCTGAGAGAAGGGGGGGGGGGAGAGTCTAAGCCATTCCAATTTTCAAGTAAATGAGTGAGTTTTAGGGTCAAGATAATTAATTGCTGCTTAAATGAAGCCCAGCAAGACTTGATTATATCTAGAAATTATTAGATTAAAAATGGCTTCCCCGTGGACACTGTTGCACTCTGGATGTATAGAAGGATTGAATGCAGGTCCAAGATGGCACTCTGTGTGACATTTTGCAGCCCATTGGAAACTGGTTGCAGAAAACCCAGCTAAACATCTATATGTAACAACCAGGGGTGACTTCTGAGTCAGAAGATTTGATCTGAACAGATATATTCCACATAGAACACCCAAATGCAGTTCATACAATTGGATGGATATCAGAAAATACTTTGTACTGGAGAGATGGCTCAGTTGGTACAGGGGTTATCTCTCACACATGGGGACCAGGGCTCAGGCTCCAGGACCCATGTGAAAAGAGCCAGGTATGATGTGGCATGAAGAGCCATGTATGGTGTGGAATGTGCCTGTAGGCACAGGGCTGTGGAGGCAGAACCAGGCAAATCCCTGAGAATTCTTTGGCCTGCCTGAAGAGGCTGCTTAGTCACTTCCCAGACACTGAGCACTCCTGTTTCATACAAAAGAAGACAAAATGAACATAGATTGCAATAAGAAACAATAGCAATAGTTGTACTCTGTCCTCCACACACATTTTCCTTCATGAATGGACATGAAAAACTTTGTCATGCATCCATTTTGCATTTTCCAGGTACTTCAACACTGTTATCTCATGAAGTTTTAATTTTTAGCTTTTATGCTCAAGTGTGTGTGTGTGTGTGTGTGTGTGTGTGTGTGTGTGTGTGTGTGTCCCATGTGTGTGACTAGAAACCAGAAGAGGGCCTGGGTTCTCTGGATGTAGAGCTACTGAGATGTTTGGCTTAGGTTTTGGAAACCTCCTCTTAACCCAGGGCTCTCTTATCAAGGTTTTTTATTCTGTAAACAGAATTAACCAAGGAAGTAACAGAATTACAGGGAAAAGATTCTACACGGAAGCAATTGCTCACTTTAGACCCTTGTTTTTAGGTGTGAAGCTTTACTGGGGAGAGGAAACAGCAGAGGGGACTGGATTTTAAAGTATAAATGCAGAACACTGGATAATTCAATTTGTAGAGGTTTGTGTGACAAAGTCCCTTTAAGAAAGGAAGGAGCCGGAGTGGAAATGGCCTTGGTACTGCCCTACTAGGGGTGCAGAACAGAGAACTGGGAGACCCTGGGCCTTTCTTGTGTGAGGCTTTGGGGTAGATAGAGGATTCTGGGAGGGAATTGAGAAACAATTGTGTGGAATTTAATTGAATTGCTCAGATCTTCCCTGTGTGGTTTCTCCTGTCCTCTTTCCCCCCCCTCTCTCTCTGCATGCATGCGTGCGTGCGTGTGTGCGTGCGTATGTGTGTGTGTGTTTACCATATTAAACATGACAAGACATGGGAGGAGAGGAGAGCACCTCTGGATACTGAATGAGAAAGGCCTAGCTGGGTAAGAAACCCCACCTTATACACACATAGTGCAGTCACCATGATTCGTGGACTTGAAAGGAAAAGGGAGTGGGTGTCTGTGTTTGTCTTAATTTTATTAGGAAGAATGGACAGGCAAAGGTACAGCCCGACTACAATGAGGGTACCATCACTGGTAACTTCACCTTGTGTCCACCTTTGGTCAGTCCAAGTTCCCATAAAATAAGTTCAGAGATTTCTAAAGCATATTTTGACACAAATGCCCCACATTCTCATTCTCATTCTCTCTCTCTCTCTCTCTCTCTCTCTCTCTCTCTCTCTCTAATTTATCTCTCTCTCTCTCTCTCAAATTCTCTCTGCTGTTCTGAGTAGCAAATCTCCTCACTGTCAAGAGCCTCTCTAAGGTAGATGATTGATATCAACTTCATTCACCAGATTTCAGGTTCCAGGTAACCACATGACCCCATACCTTCCTTTCCTGTATTTAACACATTCCACTTTCTTAAATGTTTCTCTTGATCATCAAGGTAGCCTGAGAGCTTCGAGGTTGCAAAGACTCTTTGGTTCTAAACTTAAGTTTCTTATTGTTTTCCAAAGATACCCCATCCAGACTGATTGTTGCCTGGAATCCAACTAAGCTAAGACCTTGTGTGTTTCCTTCCTCACAGGTTACTTGGGCCAGGACTTTGACTGGGCAGATTATCACAAGCAGCATGGGGCAGAAGAAGCACCACCCTTCTGCTTCAGAAATGTAAGACACTCACCATTTGTTCCTTTTTGAAGTTGTAGATGCTATACAACTATGGTACGTGTTTTTGTGATTTTTTTTCCTATTTGTGGAATACTACCTTGCATGGAACCATCACAGGTTTTAAAATAATTTCATTTCATGATATGCAGATGCCAGGCTCCTCTGATAAACTGACTAACAAACACACAGTGGCTCCAACATGATAGAGTTTAGTTCCTGCTTTTGGAAGAGTCAAGTCTCAGAGATGCTTTGCTCCTAGAGTTTGTTAAAGTGTGTAATTCTGGTCTGGGAATGGAGCTTTATTGGAAGAATTCTTGCCTAGTGTGAGTGGATCAATTCCCAGCACTGCATAAGCCAGGTGTGCTAATGTACACCTATAATATCAGCACTTCATTGGTAAAGACAGGAAGATTAGAGGTTCAAAGCCATGCTCTGCTACATGGTGAGTTTGAGGCTAGCCCCAGGCTACAAGAAACCTTGTTTTCAATAGGTAGATAAGTAGGTAGATAATAGATAGATAGATAGATAGATAGATAGAAAGATAACAGACAGACAAACACTTTAAGAAGTACTTTTGTTACTAGTAAGATGCTAGCTAAGCAGCCTTCTGCAGGGCTTACTTTAAACTATTATCTCATTGTCATTGCAGCAGTATTTTAGTGACATAAACTAGAAATAGATAAATGAACTTACTCATTAGCAAGAGGTGGTAAAGTTTGGTGAAGTAGTTGGCAAAAGAGTTTCATCAACCGTTGAGACTATAGCGAGGGATATGAACTATTCTGTTTTAAGAATGAGGTGTGTCTCCCCTAGTGTGTCCCACACACCTGTAGTTAACAAAGTAGAAATGCTGAGTAGAAATGACACACCCCTTTTAATTTGCAAACCCAAAAGCTTGTTTCTGACCCTGTGTTCCCAGAGCTACTGATTAGACTGTCCATCCCACAGGGATGTCTGTGTCACAGGGATAACAGAATTCAAAGAGCAAGCTTGCCTGAGCATAAGTGAAGCTGAGATGATGGAACATGAAGTAGTGTGATAACTGGGTTTATGTGTACCCTAAATACAGAGGAACAGCAGCAGCAGGATTGGAAACAAGGACTCAGTTGTTTAATGACATTAACGGATAGGGTCAGTTTCTCTGCAGCAGCATAGCACTGTAGGGGGTGTGTTTTAAATGGTGTGATGGGGGACAGGTGTGACTATGGTCCAGGACCCCCTTGAGGCTTATCAAGTCCAGTGACACACGACTTTATATTATGTGGAAGGCACTGTCTCAGAATATACTGGCCTGCCTTTCGTGGAAGACTGGGGAAATGGCCTGTGATGGCTCAAAAGCTGTCCAAGATTTTGCTTTCTACCTCACAAGAGAAACATTCCTTCCCTGACTCAATTTGGAAAGGAAATTTTCACATCATTCCTTGCTTCCATTTTTAGAGCATGTTTCTCCCATGGCAGCATAGTTCCACAAGCGAGAGAGTGTGAGATTGGGGATGGGGGCTGCCCAGAGATTAATGTTAGGTGTCTTCCTCATCCACCCACCTTTATCTGTCTGTCTATCATCTGTCTGTCTATCTATCTATCTATCTATCTATCTATCTATCTATCTATCTATCTATCTATCTATCTACCTTCCTTTAGCAGTCTCTCTCTGAAATCGATCACTGATTTCTGCTAGGCTGGCTACCCAGCAAGCCCCAGGATCTTTCTGTCTCCCCCCTCCAGTGTTGACATTACACATGCTGCCACACATGGCTTTCTCCATGGATGTTGGGGATCTGAACTCAGGTCCTTACGATCTCTTGGCAAACACCTTCCCTACTGAGCCATCTCACCAGCCTTCTGAAATTTCCTTTTATCCAGGAGTGTCTACATGGCATTTCATTCTGGAGCAATTAACCACATGCCAGGATGTCTTTGGAGCTTCCAGGATTCAGTAACCAAGATTAAATCTGGCTTAATGAATTTGCTGGTGTATTCATTAGGCATGCTTTTGTTTCTGGCTCCCCGTTTATTTAATAGACAGGAGTGTTGTCTGCCTGCCGGCATATGCATTGCATACTGGGACTCCACTGAATTTGTTAGCTTGCTACAAGTGCTCTTTAATGGAATGCTTATTATGAATTCATTTTTTAATCACGCATCTCATGTGTACAAGAGGAAGGCTGTGAGGAACTGGATGTGTAGAAGACATTTCCCTGGGGATGTTTTAACAATCAGAGTTGGTTATGGGATGGATTGACATAGCCAAATGCTTAGTAAAGGAAACTCGGAGGTAACAGTTTTGTTATTGATCTTTTATAAATTACCCTCAAGCAGCGAGAGGAAATGAAAAGAGGTTATGTGGTTGTAGCTTTTCCTTATTAAGTGAGATAAAGTGCTTTTTAACTTCAAGGTTCTCCACGCAGCCATCCAGCTGTGCTATCAGAAAGAGTTTTCATATGTAATTGTGTGAATGAGAGAGGGTGACTTGTGTGTGTGTCTGTGGGGGGCATAAAAAACAACCCACCTTAAACTTCCCTGCTTCCTATTTCTAGAGGAATGTGCAAGGAGGGAGTAAATTGACTTTTTTTTAAAGCATGCAGGACATAATTTTTGTTCTGATTACATGAGGACACGATTGCCTTTTCAACTGCTTTTATAAAAAGACACTTAAATCTAAATGACTCTGATTTCTATCCTCATAAGAGTTACATAACGATACAGTCTTTTATTGGCTTTAGGAATCTGTTTAGATGAGTTTATACATTTCAAAGTAGATATGTTTTATAGTACTCTAGAATATTTGATTGCAATTTATAGTAGCTGCTGTTTGGGGAAAGCCACATTTATTTGAGAGTAATATTTGGAGAGAGGTTTGCTCATAGTACTGAAAAAACTCATACTGACTTGATCTTCCTGAAATAGCTACTTAGCTCCAGACCTACTATCAAAAAAACTCTCATGGGCATTGTGGAACATGAATAAAGACAACCAGACATGCTGTGGGGCGGAGCAAACAGTTGGAAAGAAGGGCCATGGACCATGTTCACATTTCTATACTCTCAGTGTGAAGATAGCCTAAGCTGACAATGTACAAGACAACTGAATCCAGGCAAATATAGATACGAGAAAGTAAGATAAAACTTTGGACAGCGGAGAACTAGGTAGACAATGCCCAGAATCCTGTTCATTCAATGGCACCTGCATTGTGGGTGGACTCCTGAATCATCCATGTCCCAAGAAGTCTCCTGTTAGCCTAGGTGAGGAAAGAGCAGAGTGGACCTTTAAATTGCTTCTAAAGAGACAGAGTATGTGGTTTGAATTTAGCCCACAAGGCAGTTTGCTAAAACTGAAAACAGAAACAAAAACACAAATCCTATACATAGCCTTGTTGGAATATAGCACCATCCAGAGTTTCTGTGTCATCACAGTTAGAACATGCATGTTAAACTACGGCATGCAGAAGCTGGAAAACTGTAGTCCTTCTAAGAAGGAAGATAAGGAAAAAGAAAAGAAAACAGAAACTCAGCATGATCCAGATGCTGGAAGGCAAGTATTGTACATCCCCTGTTCTGAAACTCAGTGATAGGAAGTGTGGGTCTCAGTATGACATACCCACATCAGCAGCTTTAGCGCCCCCTAGGGGTCTTTTGGAAATACTGATTCTTTAGTTCTCTACATGTTTCTGATACACTCTGGAATTTGATAACAGTAGATGTAAAGGAAAGTATTCTTGTTATGCATGTAAAGATAGGAAATAAAAGCTGCCAAAGCTAGAAGCTCTAGAATTGAGAATGGTGCCTGAACTAAAGGAACTCTTCAGGTTAATAATTGCAGAGTGGAAATGGGACCTTGAATGGAGAAACCACGAGAGGTATAGAACAGAGAGGCAAGGAAAAAAAATGGCAAGGAGGAATAAAGAAGACAAATGAATCTTAAGAAGCAGGCTCCTGTGACATTGGAGACCTAGAAGAAGTGACTGAAGGATGGTGAAAACAGACACCTCCCTTCAAGGATATGATGACAAAGAAACAGGAAGCCACACTTAGCCTCACAGTCAGCAGGGCTTGTGAAAGTTCCAAGCTGATGATGCTTCACCAGTGTGACAGTTTTAATTGCCCACCTGACATGGTCTAGAATTGCCTGGAATAGAGTCTCAGTGATGGGCTTTCTTTATCAGGTTGGCCTGTGGGAGATTGTGGGGAGATCCAGCCTGCTGTGGACAGTGTCATTCCCTGGGTTTGGTAGTGGACTGTGCAGAGGAAGAAAGCTGAGAAATGAACATGCGTGTGTTGTTCCCTTTGCTCTAGCTGTGGACATAGTGGAACCAGCTGTTTCAAGTTGCTGCTGCCTTGACTTCCCAGATATGATGGACCATGTGCTGGAATTGAGTTAAACCAAATGCTTTCTCTCCTAACTTGCACTTTTTTGGGGGGTCAGGATATTTTATCACAGCAACATGAGCCCAACAAAGACAACTAGGTATCTGTTAGGATGGCTGAATTTTGGCACACCAGTCATGTCAATGCCCCTGGGGAGTTACAGCCACTAGGATACTTGTGGGAATTCAGAAATGAGGAGACCACTTTGCAAACCAAATACCATAAAAGGTTTAATACCTCTTTCTCTTTCAAGATTTATTTTTTATGTATACAGTATTCTGCCTGCATGTATGCCTGCTGGCCAGAAGAGGGCACCAAATCTCATTACAGATGGCTTGAGCCATCATGTGGTTGCTGGGAATTGAACTCAGGGCCCTTGGAAGAGCAGGCAGTGCTCTAACCACTGAACCATTTTCTCACCTTTTTCTTATATAACCCATCAATACTGTTCCTAGAGAAGTGAAAATTTATTGTGAAGGGTTGAGCTTCGATCTCCCCCTTCATTCATCTGATCAAGTCTGAACTCCTCAAAATGTGGGATGTTTGGAGTGATAATGTCTAAAGAAATGACTATGATAAGATGAAGTCCTAATCCTGTGTGACCTGTGTTCTTTTCGAAAGAGTAATTCAGGACCAATGTACACATAGAGGAATGACCATGGGAGAACACAGGCTTCAGACAGTCAACTGTAAGTCACAGGAAGCAACCTCAGCAGGAACCAACCAGATGAAAGCTTGATGTTGCAGTCTCAGCTAGGACTTTGAGAAAAGTAATTTGGGTTGTGTAAGCCATTTAGTCTGTGGCATTTGTTAAGGTAACCCAAAGGGTTTCATGTGTTTCTGATTACACAAAAAAAGTACACATGCAGGGTTGTAGCAGCTTCATTTACAATAACTACATTTGGAAAATGGTTCAATGTCCCTTAACCAGCAACTGGATTGATAAATTGTGATGTATGTACATTAACTACTCAGCCATAAAATAAAACAAACTACATATGACTCTGGCAAGAATGATCCTCAAATGCATTCTGCCAGGCATCCTGCTTTCATTTCTGTTGCTGCAATAATATATCTTGACCAAAAGCTAATTGGGAGAAAGATAACAGCTGACAGTCTATGGAAGCAGGGAAATCAAGGCAGGTACACGAAGCTCGTCACTTTACATGTATAGTCCAGAACAAAGAAAAGCAATCCCCCTCCCCCTTGTTGCCCTCTTCTACAGTTTATGACCCAGCCCACAAAGTCCTCCCAGTCACATTTGGGATATATCTTCTCCATCAACAAACAACAAGCGTTTCCCCCATCTCCCCACAACATACTCTCGGGCCAACCTGATCTGAATAGTTTCTCATTAAGACCCTCTTCACAGTTCATTCTAGGCTGTGGCAAGTTGACTTTTAAAATCAACCATCAACCAAGTGAAGGAAGACAGACTCAAAAGGTCTCATGGATTGTGATTCTATCTATGGTATAATATAAAATAAATACATTAAATTACAGAAACAAAAGCCAGAGTGATGGCCACTAGGAACTGAGGGTCAAGGACTGGGTATACAGGGCTGTGCAAGCATGTTTGGAGGAGGCAGTGATGGGGCTGTTCTGTATCATGACTGTAGTTGTGGGTGCATATGGTTGTATGCATTGGTCCAACAGCATTATCTTTATAGATCAACAAGGATGCCCTAAGCAGTGGATTTTACTATATGTATTCTGTGTGTGTATGTGTGTTTATAGTGTGTGTGTGTGTGTGTGTGTGTGTGTGTGTGTGTGT